ATAACATAGCAAAACAACAATTATAACTCAATTTGAATAAAAAAGAATATCTTTTATAAAATTTTATCAGTTAACTACCGTATTTCCTCTAATAAACGCCCCCCCCCCTGACCAACTTTGGACGCTTCGTTCTCAGCCCCATTTTGAGATATTTTTATGTTGAATATATCAAAAGATAGCCCTTAATGTCTTCTATCTTTTGATATATTAAACATAAAAATATCTCCAAATGGAGCTGAGAACGAAGCGTCCAAAGTTGGTCAAGGGGGAGGGGGCGTTTATTAGAGGAAATACGGTACTTTCTCTGATTTCATTTACAATCAAATTCTTAAATTCCCATCTTTACTTCATCACTTTTTTGCTATTTCATTCAAAAATCTTTTGATTTCTTTGCGGATTAACATTTCTGATCAAATTTTAAGAAAATATTGGATTGGTGAATTGAGAATTGCGGGACTTTGAACTAAAATTTATTCAACATAAAACAATCAATTCATTCCAAATAATTTCCATTATTATTAACGACTTCTGCCCATTTTACAGGCAATTTGTGGATTCCTCTTTCGTCGTAGGATTTTGGTTTGTGGGTAAGACAAGTGTCGACTCAAAAATGGAGGACTGGAGACTGGAGACTGGAGCTGTCCCAGTTTGAGCACTTTCTTTAAAAGAAACCCATTTTGGTGTCAATAGAAAAGTTGTAGAGAATCAAGAATTAAGCTGAAAGCCAAATTTCCAAAAAGATACACTTAGTAGTTTCGCTTAAAATGCAAGTTTTGTGAAGATTTGGCATTTCTTTCTTAAATTTGACATTTCTTGAAAACCAGTTTTTGAATCGTTCTGAAAATTTAGATATAAGCTTGATTTTTGATCCTCTACAACTTTTCCATTGACACCAAAATGGATTTCTTTTGAAGAAAGTGCTCAAACTAGGACATCAGACATCTCCAGTTTTCAATTCACCAACCCAATACTTTTTCTGATTTCATTTACAATCAAATTCTTAAATTCCCCTCTTTACTGTTTTGCTATTTCATTCAAAATTTTTTGATTTCTTTGCGGATTAACATTTCTCATCAAATCTTAAGGAAATAGACGAGAAAGTAAACCCAAAATCAATCAACAAAGAGTGATTTTAGTGATTTCTTTATCTTTTTCTTTTGTTTATAATAAATAAATTTAAAAAAGAAGATTAGTAAACTGTTTGCTAATTTATTCTTTCAAAAACAATCTCAAACTGAAGATTGGAGAATGAAATTTGGAGAAATTTGGAGAATGAAAACTGAAAAAGATAAAATCGATTAAAAAAGATAACTGACTAGTCAAAGATATCAATTAATATTTGATCAAATTATTCATAAAGTAAATACAATTATTTTAGACATTCGGGAGTATTGAAACCAACACAAAAATTCTTATCTTTGGCATGAATTTGGGGAAAAAAGGAATTTTTTTTCGGCGCCTTTCTCTTCCGCCAATCCATACAATGTCCGGTGAAGAACAATAGAAAACGGCTAACAATCATTTGTCATCTTGATTTCAAATTACATTTGATTCTTTTCTTTTAACTTTTTTCTATAAGACCCATTTCTCGAATTTAAATCTGAAAATTTGAACTTCTTTCTTCATGCAAGAGTTCTACAATGTTGTACTTCTTTCTGCTTTCAAAAGTTCTCCAATCTTGTACGACTTTCTCTAGTTTAATTTGGTTAAATTCTCAACTCTCAACTCTCAATTCTCATTCTCAATTCTCATTCTCATTCTCAATTCTCAATTCTCAATTCTCATTCTCAATTTCTCAATAGAGTTTGCGTCACAAAAGTTCATTTGTTTTGGCGTTAAAAGAATGACCAGTTGAAAAATAAATTCTAAAGAATAGAAAGGAATCTTTTTTGTTTTACTCTTGTTAAACTTGTTTTACGTGATCTACAGGGTCACTCACAATTCTAGTGTCGCACTTCAAAGGCCCTAGATTGATCAAAAGTGAATCAATCGTTCTGATTTTTCTGAAGGTAAATCTTAACAATGTCTCCAGAGACGATGCTCATTATCTAATCAATTCAACCTTTCAACTTTTTTATATAACCTTCCAAAGTCGCTCGGCAAAGTTGAGAGCAGAGTGTCGCTCGGTACCCTGCTCATTTATGGGATTTTTGAGCTCGATTAACGTCTGCCAATATGATCCATTTATCGAAATGTATTCAATTGGTTGCTGTTGAAAAATAAAGAATGAATGAGTCAGAGAAATGGGTTGCTTATGAAATGGAGCGCTCTAATACATATTCTCAAATCCTTTTGTTATTGTTCTTACTGTTAACAGCTAAAGAATGGCCTATAGGGGACTCACAATTCTAGTGTCGCACTTCAAAGGCCCTAGATTGATCAAAAGTGAATCAATCGTTCTGATTTTTCTGAAGGTAAATCTTAACAATGTCTCCTGAAACCATGCCCATTATCTAATCGATTCAACCTTTCAACTTTTTTATATAACCTTTCAAAGTTGAGAGCCAAGTCTCGCTCGGCACGCTACTCATTTAGGAGATAAAAAAATCATTTTTTGATAAAAAGTCTTTACGATTTTAATGATTTTCAATTAATCATATTTATTTATAAAATTTAAAAGTGATAGACCTTAAAAAAAACAGATTTTCTTGTTAATGGCTTCTCTGAATGTCGCATAAATCGTTCAAGGGAAAACTGACGATATTAAGTGAGTTTTGGTGACATTTCTCAAGAACTTTTGCACTTAAACTGTGTAGAGAATGTGAAATTTTGTTTATTAACATAATAAATTCAATCTCAACAAGATTTTGACAAGATCGCTTTCAAAAATCCAAGAAATAAGTAGGGTGCCGAGCGACACTCTGCTCTCAACTTTGCCGAGCGACTTTGGAAGGTTATATAAGAAAGTTGAAAGGTTGAATCGATTAGATAATGGGCATGGTTTCAGGAGACATTCTTAAGATTTACCTCAAGAAAAATCAGAACGATTGATTCAACTTTGACCAATCTAGGCCCTTTGAAGTGTGGCGCTATAATTCTGAGTCCCCTATAGGCCATTCTTTATCTGTTAACAGTAAGAACAATAATAAAAGGATTTAAGAATATGTATTAGAGCGCTCCATTTCATAAGCAACCCATTTCTCTGACTCATTCATTCTTTATTTTTCAACAGCAACCAATTGAATACATTTCGATAAATGGATCATATTGGCAGACGTTAATCGAGCTCATTTCTCTGAGACTTTTCAACTAATTGACATCAATTGTATCAACTTTTGACTAAATACCAACTCTTCTCAAATACAACCAACAAATCTTTATAGAACCTTAGTTTCTAACGCTGCAAAAGCCTGCTAATTACCATATCGATTCCTTTAACTTGATAAGTTTCGAAAGTGTTCAGAAAATGTTTTAATCCTTATCAAAGTTGGCTTTTACTTGAATCCAACAATCATAAAACCTTTATTTATCAACTATCAACAACTTTTACCTTGAAAACTTCTTCCTTTTGACTTGTTTGCTTTCTTTGGAACAAACTCCCATTTGTTTCTTTGCATTTTATTAAATCCCATGCTGACAATCAATTCTCATTTCTATTGTATCAAAAAAATGATTGTTTGACCTTCAAATTTCTTTTTCTATTTCTAATTGAGATCTAATTCTAATTCTTTTTTATTCTAAATTCCAAAATGACAATTCTCACACAATTCTTTATCTATTTCTGTTATTTTTCTCTCAAAATGATGATTCTTAAAGAAATCTCAAAAGATGAAAAAAGAAAAAGTGAAGAAATGGGCGGAGGAAACGCGATTTTTCTTGCAACGATTGAGTGTGGAGCCGGTGATCGTTTTAGTGTATTTTGGATACGTTTTTGGGAATACCGTGCAATCACCCGAGATTTATCGAAGGTCAATTTTCGTTTTTTCTCAAAACCAGTAAAGTATTCCGCTTAATTGAAAACCTATCTTTGACTGAATATCTTTTAAAGTACTAGTAAAATTATTAAACTTTTGAAGAGCTTTGAGGCTTTAGCTGCAAACTATTGGGTTGGTGAATTGAAAACTGCCGGCTATTGTCATATGTGACAGTTTGAGCACTTTCTTCAAAAGAAACCCATTTTGGTGTCAATGGAAAAGTTGTAGAGAATCAAAAATCAAGCTTATATCCAAATTTTCAGAACGATTCAAAAACTGGTGTTCAAGAAACGCCAAATTTACGAATTTTCACAAAACTTGGATTTTAAGCGAAACTACTAAGTGTATCGTTCTGAAAATTTGGATATAAGCTTGATTTTTGATTCTCTACAACTTTTCTATTGACACCAAAATGGGTTTCTTTTGAAGAAAGTGCTCAAACTAGGACAGCTCCAGTCTCCAGTCCCACATTTTTGAGTCTCACACTTGTCTCACACACAAACCAGACAGTTTGAGCACTTTCTTCGAAAGAAACCCATTTTGGTGTCAATAGAAAAGTTCTAGAGAATCAAAAATCAAGCTTATATCCAAATTTTCAGAACGATTCAAAAACTGGTTTTCAAGAAATGTCAAATTTACGCCAAAATTACGAATTTTCACAAAACTTTCATTTTAAGCCAAACTACTAAGTGTATCTTTTTAGAAATTTGGCTATAAGCCTAATTTTTGATTCTCTACAACTTTTCTATTGACACCAAAATGGGTTTCTTTTGAAGAAAGTGCTCAAACTGGGATCTCCAGTCTCCATCTCCACTCCTCCATTTTTGACTCTCACACTTGTCTCACACACAAACCAAAATCCTACGACGAAAGAGGAGTCCGCAAATTGCTTGTAAAATGGGCAGAAGTCGTCAATAATAATGAAAATTATTTGGAATGAATTGATGGTTTTATGTTGAATAAATTTTAGTTCAAAGTCCGGCAGTTTTCAACTCACCAACTCAATAGATTCAGCTTAAAAGAAAAATTGAACGATGAAACCAATGAAACTTTAGGATATGTCAAATTTATTATGGAAACGATCCAATGGTTGATTGCTATGATATCAAGTGAGTTTTACAGTAAGTTTTGCCTTTTTCAAACAAACTTTCAGCAACAACACCATCGAAGACAGTGTTCAACAGCGATCAGCCGAATGGACACTCTACAATTCTTTATCATATTTAATACCGGCCATTTTTGCGGATACTCTGTTAGGTAGGTTAAAGGTATTTTGTCAAGATCACCGTGTTTTCTCCAATAGTAGTGCACCCCAGCGAGCCGAGTTGATGCCGAGTTTACGGCTTTCAAAGTTTTCACAGAAGCTCAACACTTGAATCCCCCACTAGATCTCATCGTCAGCTACATTTTCTGATCCCACATATTGTAAAAGCGATATCAATACAACCTTATATGTTGTATTGAATAAAGGTGCCAAAATCTAACTCGATAACTGCATAACAAGGTCGATGCAAGTTTTTTAAAACCCTTGAAAAATATAAAATACCCCAGCCAGCCCTATAAAAGATATAAAATACCCCAGCCAAGTGCAGAGTCGCAAAAATGGGAGGGAAAAACTCTACCCGCTGACCACGATGAGGCATTTCCTTGGTCCGAAAGAAGTTCTTTTATAGAAGTGTGCCTTGTTTCTGAGTAGGCTCCGAAATTTCAAAGCCGTTTTTCTCAAAAACTAGCGATCCTTAGCAAAATCCGAACCATCGTACTCGCCGTATTCGATAGGTGTTTGCATCTCATTTTGATGCTGAAATCTCACGGTCACTTCTGACCATTGCCTTGTAAGGCTTGAAGAACTTGTAGAATCGATCAAAACCGAAAGTCGTTCTAGAATTTTCAAATCAAGATGGGATTCAATCCATCAAAATGGGAATCTAAATTAAATTAGAGAAAAGAAAACTTTTGTTTTTTGTTTGATAAAACTATCAATTTGCTTCTTTTTCTTAAACTTATCAATTGTCAATTTCAACATAAGAAACCAGGGGGTCCAAAAAACAATATTTATAGGTGCTTATGGGGATCGAAATGGTCGAAAGATCAACATTTTGCTGGGAATCACCGGCTTGCTCGTTTCCGAGTACGGCTATTTGTTGACGCTGTCCAACTCGGCTGCAACTCCATATTGGACGACGACGGTGATCGGCGTTTTCACCGGTTTCACTGGATATGTGGCAATGGTGGGTGAAAAATTAGAAGAAAAGGTTTCGGTAGAGTTTACGCCTTTTTTTATAACAATTTTGGTACTTTCTATATAATACGGGGGGATTTATCGGGCCGAGGTGGAGGATTTTTGGTTGTGGTACAGTTTATCGTCTCCCGCCTATAATTGCGACCTCTCAAGTGGTTTTTCTGGGGTAATTTTGTGTGTAGAATCCGAATTTCAACATCCCAGATGCGGATCGGACGTTTTTTCCACAAAAAATTGATAATAGACGGCAAATCCACCGAAAAAGTGGTTTTTTGTGGCCTTTTGCACCGTCTACACCTGCCTATAGGTATCGCGTTTTTATCCACTTTTTTTATCCCAGAAAAACCACTTGAGAATTCCCAATTGTGGGGGACAGGGAGGCTGTACTCCAGTCGAAGAAAAGCTTGCTTTTTGAATTCAAGAATTCTTTTAGATCCCCGTTTCTTGTTATGCTTATCTGGCCGATATTTCTAATGGCCCCACTGAGCTGACGTTGCGATCGGGGATCTTCTCAGTGCTGCAAACAACAGCTTCAGTTCTTGGTGGACTCCTCGCCGGTCTCATTCATGATCATGTTTGTTTTCTTTTGAGAATGAATCCAGTTTTTTACTTTTTTGGACTTTTTTTGCTTTCCAAACAGTTTAGCCAGTTTAGAACAACGACAAGTAGTCAAATGAAATCTGATTTTTATCAACAATGAGATTACTGGAATTTTCCGTGCTATGAGAGTTTAGGGGCACTCAAAATTTGCATAATTACATCAATTTGCATTTAACTTCTCTGTTGACTTTCACGAGATTTTTGATATTTTTTTAACGATTACTAACAGCAATTTTTCATCAAAGTCAACGTCAGATTTTGCGGCAATTTGGAACACCCAAATTTGGACCTCGTCGCAGTTCTTGAACTTTTTCTCGGCCAAGGAGTGGTGCATTGATCGGAACAGATGGTAGTCAGAAGGCGCCAAGTCTGGGCTGTATGGCGGATGAGGCAGGACTTCCCAGCCCATTTCTTCAATTTTCTGCTTGGTGACTAACAGCAATTTTTCCTCAAAGTCAACGTCAGATTTTGCGGCAATTTTCAGCAATTCTTTCTATAGATTCAATTTCAACTCAAACACTTTTAACTTTAATCTATTTGCTGCTGCTTTATTTGTTAATAACTAAATAATAAAAAAGTAAGTAAAGGAAATAAAAAATATAAAAAATGTGTTAGGAAATTTGTTAAAATGGTTGTTAAAATAAATAGTAAAAATCGCGTGCAAATCAAGAGAGAAATTAAATGCAAATTGATGTATTGGGTTGAAGAGTATGAAATGGCGGTGTCTTCAGACGAACTTTTGAAAAAAAACTAAACCATAAGTTTCTCTCAAATTTTCTTCTAATAACAATTGAAGTTTTGTTGCTTAAACGCCAAAATTGCATCCCGATCTGATGCAAAATTTTTGAGGAATGGAGATGAATGTGATGGTCGATTTACTCGACTCAAAATTTACTCTGATGCACAGACTTTTTAACGCATCCTCTCTCATTTCTGAAAACAACCCAATAGCAGTCCAGTGGCAGGCAAAACAAACAAACAATCGAAATTCAAATTCGGAATTTGTTCTGCTAAACAGATACGATTTTGACCTGCTACATTGATGGATGTGATGGTCGATTCATTATCTTTTATTAGACCTTATAAAATAGCCCGTTTTAACTGGATGCTAGTCGAGTATTTTTGAGTAAAAAGTCGAGTAAATCGACTTGGAGTAAATTTTGAGTCGAGTAAATCGACCATCACATTCATCTCCATTCCTCAAAAATTTTGCATCAGATCGGGATGCAATTTTGGCGTTTAAGCAACGAAACTTCAATTGTTATTAGAAGAAAATTTGAGAGAAACTTATGGTTTAGTTTTTTTTTCAAAAGTTCGTCTGAAGACATCACCATTTCATACTCTTCAACCCAATAATTCTAACTCAATAATGCAAATTTTGACTACCCCCTTAAACTCTCATAGAACCTCATTTTCTTAGGGAAAATAATTCATGAGAACATCGTTGAGTCATGGCATTTTAGATTGGTATCTCGACAGCTATCGATATCGAGTTGGCGTTTATTGCTTTAGGATTCATCTACACGCTTGTTCGAATACCGCAAATTCCCGGGCTTCAAGAAATCGAGCGGAGAATTAGAGGTTGAGCGAATGTAAAGTTGTGATTTAACTTGTAATTGATTTCCAAACTCTTAGAGCTCAAATTGCTTCAACTCCCTAGAGCTCCCCTTAAACTCTCAGCTGCAAATTTTGATTGCTCCTTAGCTTCGAGATCCTTAGAGCTCAAACTGCTTCAACTCCCTGAATTATTAGGTTAGAGAGTATGAAATAACGCCGACTTTTAAAAATTTTACTGAAACCCATAAAAGCTTCAGATAATTTATTGTTTGGATAATAAAAAAAGGACTATCATTGCTCTAGAAAATCGCTTTTGAGAGATTCCGAAAAGCTTTTGTTTTGCGGATTTTATGGGCTCCTAAACGAAACCAGTTAAAATGATAAGGAGTCCGATTCGTCGTTTAACTCGTTTCTTACACATAAACTTAACTTTATGTTAAAACAAAAAAGTAGAGCAGTTAGAGCACATTTAATTACATAAGTAGCCAAATTTTTGTAGTAATCTCGTCAGTGATTTTCTCTAAATGATGATTTATCGGTTTTCTGAAAGACTCTCTTATTGAATTTACGTTCTCGCCACGTTGAAACATGGTATCCCGTCAGATCTGCCAAGTTAAGCAAAGTTGGAACCGGTTAGTCTGGTTCGAATCCAGCAGATGAGTCAGGGATACCTTCCCTGAACCAAGCGCTGTAGGTAACCACACCCATATAATGAACTTGTTCCCAAGACCGGTCCCTTCTAGGCCATATGATGAAGGGGTTTCCAAGACCGGTCCCTTATAGGCCATATGATGAACTGGTTCCCAAGACCGGTTCCCCTAGGCCCCTTCCCCTCGGGATTGGGATTAACAGGGATCCAAATGAGTAGAATTGTCTAAGGCGCAAGCTCCTATAAAGCGGGTAGCCTTCTCCTCCTACATCGTCCAATCCTCACAAACGATTGAATATTCCCTAGGTCCTAATGTAAATCGAATATGTGTGTGCAAAATAAATCACCGATAAGCCCGGCATACATTATTATTATTATTATAGTAATCTCGTCAGTGATTTTCTCTAAATGATCATTTATCGGTTTTCTGAAAGACTTTCTTATTGAATTTACGTTCTCGCCACGTTGAAACACGGTATCCCGTCAGATCTGCCAAGTTAAGCAAAGTTGAGCTCGGTTAGTCGCAGGTTCAGAGTTATCCTAAGCGCAGGGCAATGTGGCCTTTGAAATTAAACTACTCTTGCAAAACTGCAAAACTAAGCTTGCACATAAACTACAGCCATTAAAAACGCTTATTTCCTTTCCTAGATTATTTCCTTTCCTAGATTATTTCCTTTCCTAGATTATTTCCTTTCCTAGATTATTTCCTTTCATTGACCAGCATCGTCACTCCAGAAAATAATGATCATTGACTTTCAAGAGTTATGCTTAAGTTAAGAATTTGAAGATCTAAGTTCTGTTATAGCATTAGGTAGTTTAGGTTAAGGCTTCAATAGGATTTGTTTCTGTATTGTGATTAATTGGTTGAATTGGTTGGTTGATTGGTTGAATAAACCAGCATCTATACTAATTAGGGGGCTTTTTAAAGTTCTATTTCAATGAAGCCATGAATTCTTCTCAGATTTTTCGATAAACTTGACTATTTTTCAAAAATTGATGATGATTTTGTAGAGAAATAAGTGAGATTTTTAATGATTTTAGTTTCATTTCATAAAGACTATTCGATGTTTGTTGTCTATTCGATTATTCGATTCGAACTATTCGATTAGACTATTCGATTCGAAGTTTCTTTAAAAGTCGGCACCATTTCCTACTCCCCAACCCAATAGCATTTGAAAACCTTTTACTCATCACCACACTAGCAACTTTTTCCAGCCAATCCCTAAATTGCTGGATAATATTTTGACGATAAATGAAATTCCGCTAAAAAGCTGACCATTGAGTCAACAATGAAAAGGGGAATTTCATTTTCGGCTTTTCTGACTTTAATGAACGAAAAAAAATGGGAACTAAATGAAAAAAAGGGAGCTAAATGAAAATAAATGAAAATTTGCACAACGAGCCAATGATGACGAACGGAATGCAGAGAAAAAGTATCGAAAATGAATTTAGTGACGACGATCACCTCGTTGTCGAGTGTGCGAAAGTTGCGTGGGTTTCTCGGTGACGTCGTCGCGCTTTACAAGGTTTGTGAAGGAAAGTTGAGAACAAGATTCGTTTCGGGAAACTGCGTAATGTGTTTGTTTTGTTGAAATGATCTTTCTATGATGGCTTAGAGAATCGAGATCTCTTAAAGTGTTTTTTCTCCTTAAAGGTCTTAAAGCCAAGTACAAAATTCGTGACGAGCCGCAAAAATCGCTTATCTAGATTCATTTTATGATGAAAATAGATCTTTATTATCATGATAAAGTTTACAATTGATTTACCTATTCAACTTGTTGGCAATTCCGAATGTCGACATGACAGCAAAGAGTCGATTCTCAAGTCCTGTGCCCACCTCAAAGGCCACTAGAATCCACTAGGCCACCAACGCACCTGGCTCTTGCTAGGAAAAAAGCTTTAAAAGGCTACTTTCTAAAAAGAAACGGACGTTGGTGTTAAAGGATCCTTTTAAAGCATTTTTCCTATCGGACGCTCTTCCTATCTTCCTATCGGTACGTTGGTAGCCTAATGGGCAACGACTTGCTCTTCCGCCCACTAGGTCAGGGTTCGCTCCCTTGTGCACCTTTTTGTGTTTGTTTTTCCTACGTTTTAACGTCAAATTTTCGATTGAAGTGTTAAACGCCAGGAAAATCGTTTGGCAGATTTTGATTTCAAATTCTGATTCCTCATACCCGATTCTATAAAGTGCAGTGTCCAGACAAAAGTTCACTTTGAATTCGTGCCTTTCCCTTGTTAGATCTAGCCTGAAGGAATTGCATTTGGTTTTAATATTAAAATGATCATCCAAATAGCCAAAGCCAAAGTCCAAAGAGTATTACCGTGTGCTGAGCCGAAACATCGATAGCTTTTTCTGGGATGAGACCAGGGAAAAGAGTTGAGATCTCCCAAAGTGCCTCAATGCAATGCCAAGTGCAAAATTCGTGACGAGCCGCAAAAATCGCTTATCTAGATTCATTTTATGATGAAAATAGATCTTTATTATCATGATAAAGCTTACAATTGGTTTACCAATTCACCCTGTTAGCAATTCCGAGTATCAACATGACAGGAAAGAGTCGATTCCGCAGTCTGTGTTCACCTGAAAGGCTAAATGCTTTCTTTTATTTGTTTTTACTCCAATACAATTACATTTCCTTCGCTTACCAAAGTAGTCAATCTAGAATTTCGTTTTGTAAACTCTCAAATGTAAATCAAAACTTCAAAATCAAAATCTAATCAAAACTTGAACTTTATGGCATTTCACTATTATTCGAAATTCTAAAAATATCATTTACACATTTCGACTCAGTCCCTATTTAGCTTGAAAAGTGAGGGTGTTAAAATTTCAGACTTCTTTGCTAATTGAGTCCATTTACGATTAAAATAAATGTGCTTGCCGCCAAAACAACCTTTTAACAAATTCCATTACTCGAAAACGTTGTTTTTGTTTTTCAAACGGTTCGTACTTTTTGGGTAAAATGGGGAAAAGTGCCCAATGAAATTTGAGCTTAAAATGTTGTGAGATTTGATTGAAAAAAGAAAATGGGAAGGGTACGGTGAAAAGACAAAATCTAGGAATGTATCTACACATATCGACGACCAAGAGTCGGACATCGTCGCGCATTCATGTTCATCACAGTGATCGTCCTCATGTTGACCTATACGACACAAGTAGAAACAAGAACAAGTAAGAAAGGAGTTATGATTTAAATCTACAAAATTAGATCTTCCAATATTAGATGGATAGTTGGGCTTTCTGATTTTGATTGTTTAGAAGTTTTTTGATTGTTTATAAGTACTTTAACTGTTTAGAAGTTGTTTACAAGTCCCTTGATTGTTTAGGAGTTGTTTATAAGTTGTTTACAAGTCCTTTGATTGTTTGGAAGTTGTTTATAAGTTCACAAATTTAAATTTAAAATCACGAAATTCTTATTTACAATTAGTATTGATTGTTGGCGTATTGATTTCTACAATTATGCTTTGCTTGATTTCATTGATTCTTAATTTTTCAACTTTCAGCCGGAATTGGCTCTGTGATCAACAACTTTGTCTTTCGTCGCACTGAAAATGGAGCACTCGGCTGGGATTCGGAGGATCTCGGCTATTGGAATGGAATGGGATATATGATGTGTGAGTTGATTACTAGGAAAATTGCCAGAAACACAAACGCACACAATATTCACAATATATTCACTCATATTATATTATTATATTATTACCAGCCGAGAAACCCGCCTAACGGCGGTTTTTTTTCTGAATGCTTTGAGGATGGACGGCTTTTGTCGCCGTGAAGCAGTGGATAGCGCGTCGGTCTATCGTCCATACAATCCGGGTTCGACCTCCCCGTACGACTCGAATTGTTCTTTTGAAAAAATTCAAAATCACCGGCACAACTACATGTAATTCCCTATTCAACTGCGCACAAATTATTGCAAACGGTCCTCTGAGGGCTGAGGAGCAGCGCGCACCGGCAGACAGAGAGACAGACAGACAGACAGACGGACAGACAGGCAGACGGGCAGGCACGCAGGCAGGCAGGCAGGCAGACGGACAGACGGACAGGCAGGCAGACATACAGGCAGACAGACAGGCGAACAGGCAGACGTCTTAGTCCCTTTATATATAGTAGATTATTATTATATTTAGTGATTGTTGGAACGATTTTTGGCCTTGTCGTCTTCAAGAAAGCACTCGATTTCCGAGAAACGACCCTCATTCTGATTGGAATCGTTTCGTCAACTCTTCGAACAATTATTATAGGTAAATTTATAGGCATTATTATATTACTATTATATTATTATTATATTAATATAAGGATTATTGTTGTAGGTAATTAAGTTTGATTAAAACACCATCAATTGCAGGAGTAGCCGTTTCGGATTGGATGATGTACGTGGCAAATGTGGTGGGAATGTTCGCGGGACTCGTTCAGCCAGCTGTCGTCTCTTTTATGACCCAGGTTTTGATGATAAAGTGATAAAGTTTTGAATTTTAATTGACAATCAAGTGTTTGAACTTTAAATATAGTCAAAGCTGACTAGGGAAAGGCAAAAGCTTTTTGTGAGCTTTCCGGACTACAGAAATCTTATTAAAACTTTTAATCTTACTAAATCGAGTATGGAGATTCATAATCTGAAAACAAAATCTGCCAAATAAGCTTGCAAACGCTTAAAAATTAAATTGAAATTTTGAAGATTGCTGTGAAGATAGCATCGAAGATAAGCTTTAAAGGGCGCTTTTCAAGTGGGGCCCTTTGAGCAGCAGTGGCCTAGTCGATAGTAGAATGGACTCTCGGTAGTACGGCAAGGTTTCGGTTGGCTCGGATTCGATCCCTCCCTTGGTTTTGGGCTTTTTGAAGAAGTTCACAGGTTTTCACAGATTGCAATTCAATTTTTATCGTTCAAAATGGGCAAAAAAACTTTTATGACTCACAGTCAGGTGAAAAAAACTTTTATGAAGCACTGGGTGGCACAGATTGCACTATAAACTATAAACTACAGGGTTATAAACCAGGGTAGACCTAGATGAGCAAGATCATAGCTAGGTTAGAAGTCAGAAAGGTTTTTTGTGGTCAGATCAATAGTCAGTTTTCATGCTTGCTTGTGATTTAATCCAAAAAATGTTCTGGCCAAGGAAACTCAAAACTTTTTGTTAAAAACTTTCTACTAAGCCAAAAAACTTCTTCAATTAGCCTTTATTTTTCATTTTTAGATTCAAATTTCAATTTAAGTCAAATTCAAATCAAATCCAATTGTTTTGAGGTTGTTGCCTCCTCAGAAATCGGTCGAACCTTGGCTCTTTTTGGAATTGGCGTCGATGCGGCTTTCATTCTCACAGCCGCTCTTTACACGAATGTTTACCGATGGACGGTGATTGCTTTTTTGAGAAGTTTAATGAAAAACCGAAAAACATGATTGCAAGAAATGAAGAACGAAATGAGGGAGAGAAATTTCATTAAGAAAATTTCAGGTGACATGGATGCCTGGGTTTACTTTTTGCTGATTGCCGCCCTTCTAAACAATGGCTTTTTGGCGATGTTGTGGGTTTACTGCAAGCAAAGGAAGGAGTCGGGAAAGAGGAACGTTCGACTCCGAATATTAGACAGGTTAGGCTAGAGTTTAGTTTGCAAACTAGCAAAACTTTATCCGAACTTTTGGTTCTTTTGGAGCTGAACTTGATTCATCGTCAGGGTGACCAGAAATCTAGCGACAACTTTTTGGAAAGTAGCTGGGAAATAGCTAATTTATTTCAAAGGGGCAAATGTTAAATAGGATGTAGTTCTTAATCTTGGCTACATTTATCTACCAAAGCTTCGATTGGAATTATACAACTCATTTTACAAGCACTTGAATGAGCGCTTGAATGATATTGAGCAGCGCATTCAAGCGCTTGTTAAATGAGTTTTATAAATCCAATCGGAAAGCTTTTAGGTAGATAAATGTAGCCAAGATTAAGAGCTATAATTTCTATATACACTTGCCACTTTTAAATAAGTTAAGCATTTTCGAGGTACTTTCCAAAAAGTCGTCGCTATACTTTGGGGTCACCCTGTAAAATCCTCATTTGTTACGGTCAGGGTTTTCTCCTCAAGAAAAGCGTTTTCTGGAACGTGTCAATTTTTGAAATCTACCGTAATCCTTCCAAAATTTAGTAGGAACTAGGGTAGATCAATAACTCGGATCAATAAACCAGGACTCGAACCCGCGACCTTTCAATAAGCAAATGTGCTAAACATTACACCACAACGCACTGGATCTCCCCTACTCCAGAGGAGTTAACTAGTTGGAACTCCACTATTTATCCAATCTATTTCACTTTGGACTTTTCACCTAGTAAGCCCTCAAAACTAGATAGATTGGGTAACTAACGCAAAGCTTACGGTCGTCTTTAAAAGTTGACACATTTTAAACGTGTTGTCTCTTATTGGCTTTTACTACTTATTGGCCTTTTGTCCTACTTTTTTGTTCCTTTGGGGATCAGAACCTAAACAAAACCATACAATGATTCAAAACAACTCAAATCTAAACCCCCAAGGTGAGAAATTTTTTACACGCGTCCTTTCTCGATGTGATTCCCCATGACGAACCAACAATTTCCCCCCGGTTTCTTCTAGCACCTTCCTGCAGAAATTCTACCCGCAAATTATTTCCAGAAACACAATTCCGTGACTAAAATGACGTGTAGCCACAAATGAATTTTTAGGCAATTTCGAAAATCCGGTGAAGCGTCGTCGACGATTTATCCAGAAAATTCACATCCAAAAGTGTCGAAAACAAGCTCGGAGAGGATTGGCGTTACCGATCTGGAATAGCAAGAAACAAGTGCGGTGATTTTAAAATGAAAAGCTCCATACGACAGCTGTAAACAGCCTTTTAGAGCCAGAAAAAGCAAAAAATGGCTTGAAATCCAATGGTCAAATGCTTAGTCTCCTTTTAAAATCACAGAATTCAACACAAATTTCACTTGATCATACAGAAATTGGGCGGAAGCATAGTCAAGTTTTTGGGAGTACTTCTTTAAATGTGATTTCACCAACGTTCAGTCAATGAACGGTTGATGCCGAACAATACCTTATGGCTTTATATATGGAAAGCGATATGCCGGATGGAATGCGATTGTACAATAGTCAGCATTTCTTGAAAAAAGCAACAGAAACCAGGAGGTCCGAAACCGGGGATCGAACCTGCGAGGCCTCGGAAACAAACGCTCTACCACTCGGCCACGGGTGCAATGACTCAGCTCCGCAAGAAGGCCACTAAGATCATAGACCAAATACCGCAAGGCCAAGATCCACATTTTCAGACTCCTAATCAAACTTTAGAACGCTTATAACTCTTGAAGATTATCATTTAGTAAAAACCGAATACATATTCAGAATCAGCAAGAAGTACCCTACGTCGGATGGTATAAGTCGCATAGCATTTAGCTGGCTCAGCCTTCCCTTGCTAGTAAAATAAAATTTGTCACACAAAAAGAGACAGCTCCTGATATCAAACTAGAAAAGAACGTTTTGTCTCGATCCTGAACTTGAAGCGAAGGTATTTTTTGGTTCTGAAACACCGAAGGAACTGATTTTGTAGGATTTCTGAATCTAAATCTTATGCGTTTAATATTTCAAACATTTCAGGTAGCAGTAGCGGAAAGTCGAGAGGATTTCGCCTCGCCGATGGCTGGTCGTCGAGATCGACCATTGTGGAGTAGTCATGATGATGTTTCTGCGTTAAGGAGAGGTCTAAAACGTACTACTGACTAAAAACGAATATCATTATTATTTGAATCGATTCTCTAACAAAACTCGCTCAAAACTTGCTCAAAACTTGAAAATTCATTTGTTCTCTGCAGTGAGGTTTACCAAAAAGTTAGAAGTATCGTTGGAATCTAAAATTCCATTATGATCTAGGAATGGAAGAGATTCTGTATGTTTGTTTCTTGGAAGCCCAATACTTTTGTTATTTGAAATCATGTACATAATTCTTCAATTCATTGAGATTTTCCCTATTTTCCCATCTCCAAAGTGATGTCATTGTGTGCCTTCTGTGATGATCTCAAATGTTTTTTTTTGATAAAAAAAACGTTTATATTTGGATTACGAATAAAAATGAAAGATTAATAATTATTTTTATTTTTCTGTGAGTGTCTGAAAGGGTTTTGGACTTCATGAAAGTAAGCGAAAGCTCTGGAACTCTGTGTTTAGAAAATTTCAATACTAAATAACTTTGTTTTTCTTCTTTTTTCAATACTATTTCATATTCCAATATTCAGTTGTTCAACTGAATACTTTTACTGAATACAAGCAACTGAATTGTAAACTTTTTAAATGACAATTCTTAGTCAAAGATATTCTGAGCTAGTTCTCTAAGTTAAACTAAGTCGAAAAGCTATGCCTGTCCTGGATCTATCCGGCTTTGCGGCTTTGCTGCCAAAGCCAAAGCCAAACATATCTAGACCTGGTTTCTAGTTAATTTAAGTATTGGGTTGGGGAGAATGAATCGGCGCCCAACTTTAAAGGGACTTTTGCACACATGAAGCCTTCTTTAAACATACGTTTGGTTCCTTCACAAGGATCTACTATTTCTCTACAAAATCACTTTTGAGAGATTCCACAAAGCTTTTCTTTCGTGGAGTTTATGAACTTCCAACGCAGCTGGTTAAAATGGCAAAGAGTCCGACTCATCATTTGAACAGTTTCTTTTCACATAAATCTTCTTTGGTGTTTAGATAAAAGATAGAGCACATTCAATTACTTAAGTTGCCAAATTTGCAGGAAGATCCCACCAATGGTTTTTTCTAGATCACAGTTTGTAGTTTTTGTGAAAATGGCTTTTCTTGAGCGGAGGCGCCGTTTGAATTTTCTTTTTAAATGTCATTTTAGAAGAGAATTATTTAACCATTCTACTCATATCAAACGCATACTATTTGACGAAGTCGAATAGAAGTTTTAGACATTTTTTTCATTTTCGGCGCCGACTCATTCTCCCCAACCCAATAATTTTGTAGATATAGTTCTTAGTCAAAGAATATTCTGAGCTAGTTCTTTAAGTTAAGCCAAAGCCGAAAACCTATGCTTGTCCTGATCTATCCGGCTTTGCTGCTTTGTTGCCAAAGCCAAAGCCAAACATAATCTAGACCTGGTTTCTAGTTAATTTAAATATTTTTGTAGATATGTTAGATCATTTGAGTTATTTTCAAATGAACTTTTATATTTCAAAAGAGCTTATCAAGCATTTGAGAAAGAACAAAGCAGAAAAGCCTTTTTTCAGTGAGCCTCAAATTGTTTTGCATTGCCTTCGTTTTCATTAAAGGGCTTCTCATTGAGAAAGGGGTTTCTCATTCAAAATTACAGATCAAACTCGATTCCACAATGAAATCCTTTAAGGTCATTATTTCGGAAAGAAATGAGGATCGTGAGACATTTGATACACGCCCCTTTTACAATTGTGCAATCTAATTTTAAGCTCAAATTTCTTGGTGTTGAGCTGTCCAATTTCAATAATTTTTCGACAGAGAAAGACTTGGCGCATCTAATGATACCAAGAACATTTAAATTAGATAGCCTAAAGCTAAGATATTTGAGCTCAAAGTTAGATTGCCAATGGCAATGGCAGAAGGGTGATGTTCCACCTTTTATACGCGCTCTGTCCCTTTCCCATTGGTATTAAATGTCCGATAACTGAAAATGAGATGATTTTGAGTCAAGCGACTTTTTCTAGACAATAAAAAACATGAGATGAGAAAGAACTTTCGAGTATAAATTCAAAGTTTGTTTTTGAACTAAAAGAATTAGATCAAAGCGCGGAAAATGGGGTTAGTTTGAGGGAAAGTATATTTAAAACTAAAAGAAAGACAATGCTGCGGACAAATGTGTAACTTTCATCGAATTTATCTATGCCTATGGCCACAGAGTAGGCTTGAGTAACTTAGATTGAACTTAGCAGCTTAGATTGAAACCTTCAAACTTCTAAAACTCACTAACAGCAAACCCATTGATTTTCCAAAGCGACTTTATGATAAAGACTGATAAATGTTTTTAAAAAGTTTAATTTTTGAACAAAAGAATTCTTTATTACCGGCACACAGTAAAAACAGACAAACACAAATCACTTTCATATTCAATTTTGATTTTTTTTGTTCTGTACAATAATGGATATGATGAATTTAATAGAGAAGTTAGAATTGGAAAATTATGAAATTTTAAAGACAGAGATCGAGGGAGCACAGGGGCACGGATCATGGGAAAAAGAAATATTTTTTGAGATTGTTTGAAGACGGCTTTTTTCTTCGTCTAGTAGTCGCTGCCGGATCTCTGGAAACGAATTGTTTTGCATAGATTTTAAAGATTTTGCTGACACTTGGTATTGCTTTTATCTTTTAACAATTATTGGCTTAAGGCTAAATTTCTATCGCCTTTTCTAAGGCTAAATTTCTATCGCCGCGATTTTCATTGAAGCTTACAAATTCACATCTAAAAGTAGTTTGAAAGTGAGAAAAAATGTGAAACGACTGAGGGAAAAAGCGCGAATTTCGCTTAATTCTTGTCTCGCTTAAATATCTTTTCCACCAATATTTTTATATAATGTTCAAAATTTGTTTATTTACTCACTGTTTAATATAGTCAGTGCTAAATACAAGTTAAATTATTCCTTTTATCCTGTTTCAGACAAATCTTTGTCCATTTTGCTCAAATCTTTCTGCATTTTAGCTCCGTTCTTGTAATTAACTCGTTAAGTTGAAGTAAAAGAACAAATAACGGATTGGAAAAGGTGCTCAAGACTGGCTAGCTGTTGGCTTAATTGCTGGCGTTCACATCAAGTTTCTAGCTCCATCAGAAGACAAGTCTAGACTAGTTCAAAATAAAGCCAGTGCCTGATCAGAAGTCTGGTTCAGACTTGGTTTCTGGTAAGGCTAAAGAATGTAATTAAGCCAGTTGAGGTCAAGTAGGCCAGTTAAGGGCATTTGAGGCCAGTTGAGGCCAGTTGAGGCCAGTTGAGGCCAAATCTAACTAAAGAAGAGTACTAGGTCTATTTCGAGTATTTCGAAACGAGACCTAGCTCATTCAATAGAAAATCAAACGGGGAATCCGAATCTGTAATTAAAATCTACTGAATGTAATCAAAATCTGTTGAATCTGCTGAAAACGCGTGCTTTCTGGCATAAAAGTTTTTGCTATACACTCTCGAGCTGTTTAAACCCCTCTCTCCACAGGGGTTTTGACCTCTCTTTCAACGGCCGATGTTCAAGGAATACTTCTAGATTAACCTACAATAGAAATAGCAGTAGTTTAATGCTAATTTAGTTAGTCAATAAGCCAGCATAACCGACAAGTACCAGATCTTGCTTTGCTTTTGCTTTCAAAACTTTCATAAAGATATTTTTGATTTGAATTTGTCTAAGATCTATAAGTATAACAACCCAGACTCGATTAGCACTCGAAACATAACCAGCTTTACAGTTTTACATCATACTATTGTACTTATGACTCTTTTAATTAAAATAAGATTATTGTATAGCTCTTTTTATGCAATTTCTATAGATTTCAAAGCTTTTTCTACTCACCTATAACCCAATTTAGCAAAACTTTCGTCTTTCTTTCTCTCTCACCAAATTATTTTTAGCTTTAATGAAATTTGATCGACAAAGCAAACAGCAAACAATTGCTCACCTACTTTTGTTCAATGACTTTACTTCAATGTCCAAACATATTCAGGCTTTTTTTTCGCAAAACCCACGCAAAATCCATTTCAAATGATTCATTTAAAAATAAATTCATGTTTTCGCAAGAATTACGTCAAAATCTTTTCCTAGTTTATGCAATAAAGTTCAATTTTTCTTAAAAATTCACGTTTTCACCTGTCTTTGAAAAAAAAACGGTGAAATGTCAAGAAAAAAAAACGATTTGGAAATGGAGAACTTGCAAAAATGGTTTGCGGATTCGAAAAAAAACTTTGAAACTAGAATTTGTTTTGGATTTTGACGTTGAAGTTGTAAATTGAAAAACTAGAAAACGAGTAGGGTTTTTGAGATTTGTGTATTTGAAGATTAAAGAAAGATTTTACCCCAAAGTTCTTTTTTTTAATTTTGGGTTCATAGACTGACTTCTGACTGACTTCTCTCGACTTGATCTTCTCCGACTTCTCTCGCTTCTACTTCTAACTCGAATCTTCATAGACTCGACTTTCATAGACTCGACTTCATAGACTTTGACTTCTGGACTCGACTTCTAGACTCGACTAAACTCGCATTCTTCTTCTTTTTCGGGTTTCTTTTTTAGGCCTTTTTTTTTTTGTCGTGTCTCTTTTACGCTTTCTTATCTCTTTCTTTCTTTGCGCTTTTTTTGCTCTGAAAACTTGCTAATTTAGGTATCTGACGATAAAAAAACGCTCAAATTACCCAAATCTACATTCAACTTTTCAATAATTCATTTAAAAAACTTGAAATATCCATTCATCTTAATTCTAATGAATTTCTAATGAATTCTAGTGATTCTAATGATTCTAAAGATTCTAATGATTCTAAGATTCTAAGCTTCTAATGATTCTAATGATTCTAATGATACTAAGCTTCTAATGATTCTAATGATTCTAATGATCTAATGATTCTGCTGATACTAAGCTTCTAATGATTCTAATGATTCTAATGATACTAAAGATTCCAAGATTCTAAGATTCTAAGCATTCTAAGATCCTAATGATTCTAAGTTTCTAATGATTCTAATGATCTAATGATTCTGCTGATACTAAGCTTCTAATGATTCTAATGATTCTAATGATTCTAATGATATTAAAGGTTCCAAGATTCTAAGCATTCTAAGATCCTAATGATTCTAAGTTTCTAATGATTCTAATGATCTAATGATTCTGCTGATACTAAGCTTCTAATGATTCTAATGATTCTAATGATTCTAATGATATTAAAGGTTCCAAGATTCTAAGCATTCTAAGATCCTCATGATTCTAAGATTCCAAGATTCCAAGATTCTAATGATTCTAATAAATTATCATAATGCTTTTTATAGCGACAAATCTTTTAACATTCAACTTTTGTGAGAATTTTCGGATGTTTTTCGATTCTTAAAACATTTGTGCTCAAATTTGGTTAAGAAATGAATTTTTTCTTAAGTAGCTGTTTTTGTGTTTTCCTAAGGTCAAAATATCCATTTCTCAATCAAATCAAATCCTAGTTTCAACGTTTTTTCAAATCTGCAAACCATTTTTGCAAGTTCTCCATTTCCAAATCGTTTTTTTTCTGACATTTCATCGTTTTTTGAGCGCATCATCAATAAAATGTTTTTCGATCTTTCAATTTCCCTAGAACTCCACTACAAATCTTAAATCTCAAACGTCACTTCTCTATATCTTTCCTCAAAATCTTCACCTTGAAGAAGCGAATTGACGGCTCGAGTCGGGTCCATTTCTTTCTCAATTGAAAGGGTTCAGGAGCGAAATCGGCATATTGTCTCACGTAGTCCTCTAAAGGAGCTGATGGAGCTGAAGAGACCGATGGGAGCAAAACTGGAAACTTTAGTTTAATCGTTCATATCAGAAATCCAGTCTGCCTTTGTAAACCCTAAAAGTGAAGAGAGAAAGCTGATTAAAGCTACCCCTGAATTCTTGTTGCTGTTGCGGTTAGTGTTCCCGAAAATTACCTAGTGAAACTCAAGCACACTAGGCACTAGGTTGGCCGGTTTACTTCCTGGCTCAAATGCACTAAAATGTTGTCCGTTGTTAAGGTTACAACTGTTTTGAAATATCTAGAAATCTCTTTTTTGTTAGTTCCATTTTCTTGGTCTTTTTTTGTTCCATTTTCTCATCTTGACCTTTGCCAGAATGTAGTAATAGATAAGTGTCAAAATTGTTTTGTTTCTAGCTCAAGGGCACAAACATATTGCCAGCCATGGACTCTAGAGCCTGTAAGCCAGATTAGGCTAGGCCAGAGCCCGATCAGAAGCCAAGTTCATCGACATCCAGGTCTGCAGCAAAGCCAGATCGAAAGCCAGGCTTTACTGTTACTCATTTAGTACTCATTTGTACTCATTTGTACTCATTTGTACTCATTTGTACTCATTAGTAGTACTCACTCGTTTGTTTAGTTTATCTTCTTACTTCCCATTTTCCCCTCTACTATCCCTCCCATCTTTTGCTATTCACCAAAAAAGCTTCGACTAGACTACTCTATTTCAACAAACCCCAGGGATTTACTTTCATGTTACTTGTTAGAAAAGTTTAGAAAATTGTGCAGTTTACAGAAATCATTTCTATTTTCAAATCCATTCCCCAACCCACCTGAGATCAGTGCGATGAGGAACGATAAGAACAGCAACGTCTTCATGTTTTTACCTGAGAAATTAGCTTTTTCAAGGTTATCGAACATTTGATACGCCCCGCCTCTTTAGCCATTGGCAATTTAACGTTGAGCTCAAATATCTTGGCTTTGGGCTATCTAATTTAAATGTTCTTGGTATCAATGGATGCGGTAAGACTTTTTCTTTCGATTGGTACAAAACTATTTAAATTGGACCGAAAAACACCAAGATATTTGAGCTCAAAGTTGGATTGTCAGCGGTAAAGAGGGCGGGGCGTGTATCAAATGTCCCACAATCCTTTGCAAGAAAGTAAACAGAAATTTTTGTGCAAAAAATGAAAGATCTTGGCTCTAATTGGGATGTTGATGATTCGAAATTTAGCCAGAATTTTACGAAACCCAATTGAGATGAATAAACAAAATGATCAGATTAGGGAATGAGACTGGAAATTTCTCGAAAAGCTAGCGGGCAGACGGAAATGTTGAAGAGAGAAAAACAAGGAAATTATCTGGGAATTTGAATTTTTATGACTCCGGAAGTCGAAGTTTCTGAAGTGAATCGAATTGGATGAAACGTTCAAGAAAAACAGAGTAAGTTCAAAGCATAGGAGTTGAAAAACAAGGTAGAGAACAAGGTAGAAAACGAGAAAACGAGATAGAAAACAGGGAAGTTGGGGAAAAGCATGAAAGTACTATCAAACTTCAGTGCATTTCTACAGTAGTTCAATTCTACAGTTCAATTCTTTCTAGTTAATTGTAAAGCAAGAGCTAATAGCTTGAAAGTAAAAAGGTTCATTTATATTAAACCAGTTTAGATCTAAAAAATTGCTTTATCTAGTGCTGCTGCTGCCTATTTACTTTTCAAAAGCCAGAAGCCAGCGTACTGTGATGCCCAGGAATGTAAAATTACAGTACTAAAAGTGAAAATTGAGGCTTTCTGTGAGGATCAAGCTTTTCAAGGCCCCCAAATGCCCCTAGGGTGGGTGGAGGCGGAGAGGAGGAGGGGCAGCCCCGCCTTCTCCTCTCTCTCTCTCTCCACCTCTCTCCCCTCCTCCAGCTGATCACTAATTCGTTTTCTTCTCCGGATAATTGCCCTTTTTGCACAACAATCCAATATACATATGAGTGTTCGGAAGATGTTCCCAGACTATACAAGTAGTGCTGAAAGAAACTTCTCACTGAAAAAAATCCCGGCTTTGAAAAATCAAAATGAGTTGTACATCAATTGTATTTAAAGTTTTATAAAATTTATTAAAATTTAGATTTCTAAAGTCACAAGAGCTCTTCCTCTTCCTCTTCTAGGCCATTTCTTTAAGTTAAGGATTGGTCAAAAATAGGTCTCTCAAAAGCTTCAGTGATGAAAATTTGATTGAGTTTGGAGACGGATATGTCTGAATATGTTAGGGATATGTGAGAGATATTTCTGAATATATATCATTAGATTATAGTGTCTATGAGCAAAGCTCAAGTTCGCCTTGCTTAATTAGACTTTAACCGGGAAACTTTTTTGGGAAGAACTGTTAACACTGCAGAAACAAAGAAGTTGAAAAGGCGGAAAGTTGAAAAGGCAAAAAATAAAGGAGTTCAAATGGGAGAATCTAGTCACTAAATGACGCAATCAGGTCTGAGAGTTGTTGTGTTTCATACTAGAATTTCTTGTGACTTAAAAGTTCGCAAAAAAAAACACGAAATGGCCTTTCTGAGATCACTCATAACTTGTTGAATTTCTTCTCACGAACAAATTACACATTTATGAACTAAAACCAAAGGAAAGAAGTAAAAGAAAAAAATGTCTGGGGAAGCTGTGAATCACAGCTGAATCCACAAGAACTTGGATTATAGCTTGAGAAGTTATTCATGAGTTTAGCTCAGATCTAAGCCCAGAATCGGATCCAAATTTGATATTGCATCTAAAATTGAACAGATTAATATTCATTTTGAGCAGTTTAATGAATCTAGATTTGTTTATGTTACTGTTAAAATATAGACTGATTTGATAAAGTCTTTTTGTGGAAAGTCAAGTTGATCAGTCAGGTTGATCAGTCAGGTTAATCAGTCAGGTTGATCAGTCAGGTTGATCAGTCAGGTTGATCAGTCAGGTTGATCAGTCAGGTTGATCAGTCAGGTTGATCAGTCAGGTTGATCAGTCAGGTTGATCAGTCAGGTTGATCAGTCAGGTTGATCAGTCAGGTTGATCAGTCAGGTTGATCAGTCAGGTTGATCAGTCAGGTTGATCAGTCAGGTTAATCAGTCAGGTTGATCAGTCAGGTTGATCAGTCAGGTTGATCAGTCAGGTTGATCTAGCTCAAATCACACCAGTACCTCCGTATGATAGATGATATGATCCGGAATCTGTACTCTATCTAATAGAAAGTATCAAAACTAATTTGCTCAGTACTACGAGTTACTAGTGTGCTTTCCCTTCAATTCACTAGATGTGGCTAGACCTGTGCGCTTTCGCTTGAATGAATAACAAAATCAAATTTATTCAGCGGCAAAGTGTGTGAAAATGTTTCAGCGAAGCTTCAGGAAACAATGTGTTCCCCAGAGACAAAAAGGAATCACTTTGAGGAAAAGGAAAGAAAAAATCGTGTGGCAGGATCGTGTGGAAGTATCGAGCAAAAGAAAATAACTTTCACAAGACGAAATGAGAGAAAATTCTGACTAAATGGAGAAGGTGTTCTTATATACGCGTGTGAGCGCGACATTGTCTAGGGTATGGTATTTCTAGTGCCTTATTAGACAGTGCTTTGCGACAGTCACCGATAACAACTATAATCTAGCAATTTTCAGACCCAGTACCAGACATGACCTTTATACCCGCTCCGCAGAAATAGAACGATTCTCAAATTCACCCAAGTAGAAGAATACTCAAATTCCTCACGTTTATATTCTCTCATCATTGAGATTTCAGTGCTTTTCTCCGTTCTTTTTCTTTTTTTCTTATTTCTCCATTGACGCGTGAAGCGTAGGCCATATTGGAAAGGCCAAAAAATTCCCTCAAAATGTGCTCTTGTGGAATTTTGCTGTTCTCTTTTTTTTTTGCTAACACCCACATTTTTGCGTGGATGACGAGGAGAATCGAAAGAAAAGAAGACATTGGAAATATGCAATTCTGTGCAATGATGGACATGATTTGTAGTGAGTGGTTAGATTTATGACTCACTGGGGATAAGAAAATGATTTATGATTTGGTTTTCTAATGCAGAAGTAGATAGAATGCTAATTAGTTTCAGTTGAGGATTGGAAAACATTCAGTTTTCAGGAAGTCATCCAGAGACTCAGAACTCAGGAACTCGGGAATTCAGCACTGTAAAATGGGCTCTTTGGTATGTGATCTCAGCAAAAAAAACTTCAACAAAAACATAATTTGTATAATTTCGCTAAAAAAATAGAAATCCTAGTGTACTGGTTTGTTTTTATAAGCACACATTAAGTTTACACAGTTTTGTTTTGTTTGAAAGTTCAAATAGTTCAATCAGGAACCCATTCTTTACTTTATATATGCTTTATTCAGTTGAATAGCGACAAAACAAGATCAAAATAATCACCCAGGACACTACTCAAAGCACACCCAAAGATAAAAGATATCTCAAAAAAAGAATCACAGAGCAGTCAAATCAATTGCCAAAATTGTGGCTTTAAATCTAGACAAGGTGGGAATATCACGAAGATGAGGGGGTTAAAGGTTTCACAATTTAATAACTCGATTAAAAAAGATGAGAGCTCTTAGAAGAAACGGAAAGTGAAGTTATGAGAAAAGGCCTCCTTCTGGAGAGCCGAATTCAAAGAGATCAGAAAAAAGTGGATCGGGATGAATGCCTTTAACAATTTTAAAAGCATTCCATTTTAAAGCAGTCCACTAACCCTCTCATATTCGTAATATTCCCAACTTGCCTAGATTTAAAGCCTCAATTTCGGCAAATGAATCGATGGTAAGGCGGCTTTGATGTAACGTTTCAAGCCCAAAGAGTTGCAATCTATTAGAATAATTAAAGGAGGAGAATTTCAATTTTATAAAGAAAAATCAATTTTATAAAGAGCAATTCTGGCGAAGTGAAGTACGAATTAGGATTTTCTTTGAGAAAAATAGAAACGAATTTGGTACTTGTCCACAGAGACTCAACTCGGTGAAGCAAGGAGCTGACAACTGTGATTGTGACAATTGTGATTGTGATAACTGTGAGCGGTGATTAGCGGAGTGAAGGAGTGAAGTAGAGTGCTCGATGCAAACAAAGCCATCAGAGTTCTTTGTTCAGGAACTTTGCTTCGAATCTCCAAGAATAGTGGATTTTGGGATGCAATTTTAACTTCTGATGAGAAATGGATTCATTATGACAATATTCTTAGAGGAGTGAAGTAGAGTGCTCGCCTGAAGTCATTCATCATCAGAAGTCGATCAGTCATTCATCAGAACGCAAATCGTTAACCGAGAAGGCTCGGATGGGGATGCTTAACCGAGATAAGTCTTTGTCCTGTCCATGTCTTTGTGGATGTGGATTTGTGGATAACCGACAAGTAGTTTGTTGAGCTGTAGGCAAAACTGAAGTTTAAAGTATCACGAATTTTTCCTAGCGCACTCAAATCTTCATTTTCAAGTAAACATGCTGAATTCGATGTAATAAAAAGATTCTTTTTTCTTCTTAAACGTTAACTTGCTTTGAAAACAAATGTTTGATGTAGATAAAAGCTTTTTAAATCAAAATCTTTTCTTTTCAAAATATCAAATTGCAAAAGAATCTATAGAAAAAAGGTCAGAAAATGCGTGAATTGAAGAAATTTGATCGGCTCGACATCTTTGAAATTTGCTTTTTATAAAATTTTGAAAAAATTTCAATTACAAACAGGTGAGATTTAGAAATTTATGAAAAGAAAAAACGAATTGCTTTAAAAATGCTTCAAAAATGATTCTCTAATCGGAAACTTGTTGAGCTGTAGGCAAAACTGAAGTTTAAAGTGATCAAAAACCTCAAAGAATTTGAAATTTATTAAACCATTTAGATGAAATTTATTCAAATTCATTTCAA